AGAAATCACCCCCAAAGTTTGAAATTGAAGCATTATTTCGACTAGTTTTGCTGTACACAGAAACAAAAAAAAAAAAACACACACACATTGTAAAATCAAAAATCAATAAATTCATCACTCCGTTCAGAATCTAAACAATTAAATGCTAATTAATTTATTTGTATATCACATTGCCTAGGAAATACCTTCCTAACCTACCTATGTTGTGTATGCATACATGCTATTAATAATTAGTAAAATACTTAAGTATTGGTATTTGCTATTTAACAACATGATGTAAGACAATACAATAACACGTAAAGAAACTGTACACATAATATTTTATAAGTAAAGTTTACACTGCCGGTTAACTACAAACTTGTTATTTTTTTTTTATGAATCAATCAATTTTATGGTTGTATAGTATTTAAGTTCAAATAAACATAGCTTAATATAACATATATATTTAATATTAATTTTATATTTTAAATTAAAAATATTTATACCTGATTAAATAATTAAATATAAAATCTGATAAATAAAAATTGACTTGACATTTATACCTGAAAATTTACAATATTAATATAATTGTATGATTTATATGAACTGACGTAGTTATTGACATAGATAGTAAACAATCAGTAAAACCTTTTTGTAAGATAACAATGGCTCATTTTTATTTAATAAAACAATAAAATCGTTAAAAATGTATAATAAGTTATATGTTTATAATCATCAGCCATATTCAATATTCATATGTGGCTTATAATTTCTGGACTAACAGTCGATACATCGGGTTGTTGAACCACCACGTCTTCTTCATCATTTTGATGCAACTTTTCCGATCTATAATTATCATCATGTTTGTTAGACAAATCACCTGTGAAAAATGGAAATTAATTTATACACAAAGGATTTGAGGTTRTTTTGGAAGTTTACTGTTCTTCGATGATTTTGCGCTAGACGACCGATTAGGTTTTGAGGGACGAGTGGGACCACTACCACTAGTACCAGCTGAATTTGACTTATTGCTAAAAATAGATCGTCTCATTTTTGCTGTGCCAGATTCGTTTTGAATAAACWTTTCAGTCGAGTTCGTGGTGGTAATGGAGGTAGTGGTATTAGAGGTGGTYGTTACGGTTTCGGCCAAATTCCTATCATACTCTCTGGACTTGGCCCTGAAAAGCGGTGATCGTGATTTGGCCGATGGTATTGGTTCTGTTTGTATTTTTGTCAATAATGTCGGGGCGACTTTATTTCGGAATGCAGTTGGCTCAGGCTGTGGTTGAAAATCAGGTGGTTCGTACTCCTCATCTGACTCGCTTCTGAGTGGTATAATATATGATGTACTTCCCATTTCAGTCGTCGGGTTTGATGTTTTTGAATCAAAACTATCCTGCAGACATACCGATTAATAAATTATAAGTCCTGTAAAGCTGGTCATAAATTAATCTAGTGACATTTTATATTTTCATGGCTGTGGAACGTCGAATACAATGATTATACATTATTCATCCCTACTTCTTCCTCTGATATATACTTATTAATTATGAACATTGACTTGATCACTTAATAATAAATTGCTAAGTATAAAGTTCGTTGCTGATAAATTCTTAACTTGTTATACTGCCATATAGCTACTGATTTTATAGCTTTTAATTATTTATGTTACTTATAGGATCTGTCTGTTATAATTTAGAAGTTTCTCATTATAATTATTATAATTGCGTTTGATATTTAGGCTATTTTTCAAGTATTTAACCTTTATAGGTAAACTTTYTACTGTGCTCACATTTATAGTAACTATTAATTATTAAAAGAATTTATGCATGACCGTATCTATAAATATTATTATTTATTATATTATATTATATATATATATAATATTTAGTGCATATAGTGTGAGTTGTTATGTTTGAATAAATAAATTCTTAATACATTAATTAGCAAAAAAAAATTGAAAATATTCTTAATACCGGAGAAAAAAATTATTTATTTATTAAGTTTCTACCTAAGTAGATTAAAGAACAGGCATTGAATTCGGGTTAATTGAAAAGTATTATATTAAAAGCATAAAGGTTACTATACATAAATTATGATCAAACAGTATTGTTATAACTTATAATGGATAAACAAAATATTTAATTCATTTGAATATTTAAGTAGTTATAAAAATATAATTTTTACGTATTTTGGATTTATTTGCTCGAGTTAAATAATTTAGTTTATTAAAAAATTTTCTAATAAAAATTWCATTGAACAATTAACAAATCATCCACAACACTTAGTAATATATATTAAAATAAAAAATAGTTAATTAATCGAAAAATATTTAGTCCATATCATAGTATCATAAATTAAACATATCAAATCATAACTTAAACCTAGATAACTTTCTTTTAATTTTTAATCATCATATATTGTTCCTAACGATACTAAGTATATAAATTATTTAAGATGTCAAAATGAGTTGATTAATACTGAAATTATTAAATTACACGTTATGATAATCTGTCTTAAAAATTAAAATATATATATATATCTGTTGGAATACGCTGCTATATCTGATTGAACGTATGTAAATAAAATCTTACTATGACTTTGTTAATTCGCCTGAACGGATTGCGTTTGGTAGATCTCCGATGAGGTGCGTTAAACGAAAGTAAATATGATTCGTTTGAATTCTGTTGATTTTTTTTCCACTCTTCAATTTTTTTATCCACTTGAGCTTTATACTGTGCCATATCTTCTATGACACGACGGTTGAGCGTATCATATAGTTTTACAATTTGTAATATCAGCCAACTAAGTCAAATAAACAACTTTATACCTCCGGTAATATAATTTAACATACACATATACTTAGTCAATTATTAGAAATTTACATTAAAATCGTTTCTTTCAAATACCATAATATACGTTATATTCTACAACTTAAATCTTTCCTCGATCGAGATTAATTTAAAGTTGTATATTATGAGATATTAAAAAGTAAATCATTAATTAAATTTGATGTATTAAAAAATTTACCTAAATCCGCTATCAATGCTCGGATCAATAAAAGCAGAACTACAGTAATTAATAGGTGCAGTATGAAGAGCTGTACATGTTTCTACAAGTGTTGGACACTTATTCGCATTCACAACAGCCTCTACATTTAATCGATCTACTATGTCCAACTCATCTAACGCCCCTGGTTTGTCTTGCTTATTAGCAAATCTAGTAAAATACAATTATTAGTCAAATCATAAAAATCAATCTTTTTAATCTTACAACAGTACTGGTTTTCCGGCAATATTTTCATGTCCTAGTAAATTATGRAAAACTTCTTTGCATTCATCTAACCGACTAAGATCTGCCGAATCCACCACAAATATTACACCGTGTACCTAAATATCACCATTCAAATTATCAATATATAGGCATAAGTGTATAACTTATGTAATGATATCTGATAAGTGATGAGTAATTGATGATTATACATTACATCAGCAAAATACTGCTTCCATATATCTCTGATTTGTTTGTGACCACCTAAATCGTAAATAGTTATAGCGTTGTCGTGATAATTACATTTGGAAGACGAAAACCCAACAGTCGAAAGAATATTTTTTTGCTTTTCTAAAAGACAATAATTTAATTTGCAATTAAAAAATATTTATATGTATTTTAGAACATATGATTATCAGTTTAAGATTACCTTTCATAATACTTTTAACGGTACAAGTTTTTCCAGCGTTGTCCAGACCAACCAGGAGCACAGTAATTTTTCTAATACACATAGAAAAATAAATCACTTATAATTATTTTTCTTTTCTTTTAATTTAAACTTTGTTTATATAATCAATTATTTTTAAAATAATATACAATACTTATCAAAATATATTTAAAATAAAAACTGCAGTCATACACGATAAAAATTAAGACAATTATGTACATACATAATATGCAACTATATACAAGAGTTTACAAATATTCAATACTTTGAAATTGGGGTTAAGTATTATACAAATGGTTCAATCCCATGTTGCGATACCACAACGAAAAAAAATTTTGAAATGATTAACGTGGTTGATGTGGTGATTTGGTTGAAATTATAAATTATAAATTATTTAATATAAGATATACTTTGAATATTTGAATGGAGAGTAGTAAACTAGTAAATAATAGAGGTATTGCTGTATTGGTATAATACATTTATTAAAATATACAATTTTTGATTTTTAAATTAAAAACTTCGTCGTATTCAATAATATAGTGTATTAAACCACTGATTACTAATGATTAGTGGTAACTCAAACATAAACTTYATGTATACTCGCTTATTGAACGGCATACCAAAATCATATTAGGCCATAATATTGTCTAAGTGTGTAATATACACATAAATTTTCATTTCTTTAACTTGTATTATATAGTCTAAGTGGGATGATGGTTGTACACTATGTTTTAATGTTTTAAAAAAAAGAAATGTAATGACGTCACTTTTGGAATTTAAAGGTAATTTCTAACCAATACTTTTAAAAACCATACGATAATAGTATAAATTATACTTATAAAAACACTTTTTTAAATAGTCAGGAAAAACTAAAAAAAATTCGGATCTTATCGTTTTTCAGAAATTAATAACTGTAATACCTACTTATATAATAATCCTATAAATTAACGTAAAAATAATTTAATTTCAGTATCATTAACAATCATAAACAATTTTGGCATTATTCTATCGAATACCTGTATCTAATATATGCTTGTGATAATCAATACCAAACGGTATGTAAATAGCTTAGTTTTAAAACCCTGACCTGGACTATATACAATTATAATTTACATTAATATCGAACACACAAAAATAACATTGAAATTTCAATTTTGGAATAAAAACCATAATTTATTTGTCATTCATTCAGGGCATCAACACAAACACTAACCGAATCCTAATCAATTTTTCATTAAACGCCTTATCATTATGCAATATCGTTACCTGCGTTGTCGTTGGTCTGCGTTCGCACAGTCTATACATTTAAACCGCAATACGTTGCCCATAACCACAGCTGTCAAAACATGTTTATTTTTTTACCCAGATACTTTGGAAAAWTTTTTTTTTCAAAACAACATACGTAAGACTTATAGCGAATTTTCGTGTTGGCGTGAAATAATAATATTAAGCGCGGTTCACGGTCTAGTCGACGACAACAAACGGTAACCGCGGCAACCGGGGCCGCCGTGGAGGTTAGGACCGCGATTCGTCCGCTATCGGTCACATAATAATATTATACGATAATAAAAAATAATATTCAGCGTACGATAATAATATTAATATTACGGCGAACGAAAAATATCGTGCACGCTCGACAGCCGCGGACGGGCGGCTGTACCACCGGTTGCCCGCACTGGTACCGCCGCCGCAGCTGGTGTCCTCGTTTCCTAGTCGGCCGCGTAGAGCAATCGCCCGTGGCGGCCGCGGCTCATCATGCCCTTTATCGCAGCCATATTCACCTCCAACGAGATCACCGTGTACCAGGGGAACAGCCGACCGGTCGGTTGTGGCGCACGTTCGTTCGACGGTACCGTGTGCGTCGCCGACACAGTWGTGCGACGATGTGTGGGGCCGTCTCGTGGACTGATCGTGGTGCACACTTCGAGATACCGTGTTACTCGCCGTTACAAATCTACAAATAATATTATCTATTACTGAAGTTAGGAATTTTTTCGTGATGACTATTTTTTTTTTTTTTTATCAGAGCCATTAAGAGGTATAACTTATAGTGCCTATGGTTATAGTTTTAGAAAACGTTAAACGTACCCCTCGTCCCGTCATAATATTATGTGTGGCTTACTCGTATAACCAATTAGCATTGCACTAACAATTCCACCAGTTTGTCAATAAGTAATGCGATATTTTAAGATTATTGGTTGCAACCTATCTAATAAATTATAAAATTGATTATACATGATATTATACTCATATATATTATATTATTACAAGTATAACATGTTACAACCATACGACATTCTGACATTCAGGCCACAGAACACTATCAGTTATCACTAAAGACCAKATCAATGTGTAGAAAGATCATTAGATATTTAAGCCAAAAATTAAATTTTAATTAAAAATAATTTAAGAAGTTTTAATATTAAAATAAAAGCAACAAAATCTATTGTATGTTGAAAAAATTCACTCGATTAATCTGGGGGTGCTAATATGAGACTTAGGAGTTGGGTTAGCAGTGTTAGCACTCCTTTGGCACACCTCCTCGCGTGCCTATAAATCCATATACCTATTATGTATATTTGATCGTATCTACGCTGTTCTTGATGAACTAATAATAAAAACGCGTGCATTGCGTGCATATATATTATTATAAATAAGGCCCGGAACTTGATGCATTTGAATCTTTTTTTCTAATGTTCGTTAATACAGAAATTTGATTCGTGAAGAATAGAATTAAATGGTACAATTTTTATTTTACATTTTTAAGGAATTTTTTGCTTTACGGTAATTTTGTAGTATTTTTAGTGCATTTTATTCATTTTTACACATTTTTAAAACATATATTTGTATTTTTACTGTTGAAAGTTACACATGCAGATTCCATTAGCTTGTCGATAATCAACGTCCATTATGTATTTTTTAGCTGTCGCGAAAAAAAGAAAAATTTTACTAAAAGAAGTATTTTTTTAAATACAGTTTTATTAAGTTAAATAAATATAATTTTAATAATAAATAATAATGCTATAATTATATTTTTATTTTAATAATTTTTGTATCAAAACAATATTTATCAATTTTTACAGTAAAATATACATTTTTTTTACATTTTTATGTCATTTAATGCATTTTTTTTATATAATTGTAAATCATCAAGTTCCAGTCCCTAATTATAAATGTTTGGTAAGAAATCTATCCAAACTGCGAAAAAAACAAAAACGTATAAGTGAGGGTCAAAAACTGAAAATGATATCGTTTCGTTTCTTATTCGCGATGATATTGATCAACATTTTTTGTTCAGTGTGCGCAACCGGCGTCGGGGTCGCGCGCGTGCGCGCGTGTGTGTGAAAGAGTTGTTTTACTGGTGTAAAATTATTGAATTATGGCGTTTAATTTATTATGATCGTGTATGGTGTTGGAGTGACTCAAACTTTTTCCATAACCTGTTTTAATGGTTATTATACTTTTTAGAGTGGAATAAAAATGTCGATCCCAACATTATATTCTATTGTATCATAAATTTACTGCAGGAAGTTTATAGTCAATATTTCGAATACGCCTAAGCAGTGACGTATTAGAGGAGGCCAAAGGGGCTTGGGTCCGGGTGGTACATTTTTAGGGTTGCTAAATTTTGGATAGAATTTTGATAAAATACGGTAGGTACCTAGATCATCTGAGAGATAAAAAATAGTAATGAAACTCAGATATTAATGCACAATTATGTTTCTTTTTCAAATATACCTTTCGCTAAAGGAATTTAGGTTGGAAGTGGGCGTTTTTTTTTCTTACCTGGGGAGCAAAATTCCTAAATAAGTCTCAGCGCCTAAGATATATAAAAATGTTAGAATGTACAATAAGGATAAAAATGGAAATATTCATAATGAATAATGGTCAATAAATACAATTAATATGTTTTGGTGAGAGATAAACCGTCCATTTGTATGAAAAGTTAAATAGTATGAAAAATAGATACTCCCATTCCCATAAATGTATTGACTATACATGGATGGTGGTTTCTACGGTTTTAGTTCAACATCACTCTTAAATCTTAATGTATATTGTATAAGGTATAACATGTTATAAAATATACTATGTATATAATATAGTATTGGAGTATTAATTAATTATTAATTATTATAATGAATAAAATATTGAATCATGTTTTTTTTAACTACCCAGTACTTTTTAATAAAAATTAAATATATTACTTTTAACTATTGGCCTTTGCTGCCGAAAGCCGATTTATTTTTAAGAACAATAAAAAAAAATGTATTATTATTAGTGATTACTTTATTAGGTATTTTATTGTGAACTTTTATGAAATATGAATAAATTCAATAAAAATATATACTCAGTATAAAATTTAATTTTAATGTTTATGAATAGTTAATAGTATTTGTGAACTATTTGTCAAAAGTTTAGAAAAAGTCTGTTAAGTTCTTAGATCTTATACTCAATAAGTCTATGATTTGACGAAGTAGGTATAGTTAATTTTAATTTTTAAAGCAACGTTTTATAATATGTTCCTGCAATAGTTATGTTTGACTTCGGTTTGTTTTCTTGGATCAATAAATAGTTTTTATTGTTTTTACAGTTTTTATTTTTTATCTGTATCCTGTAGGGAAATCCACGTATCCCAATCCCCAGTGCCGAACACTAATATTATAATACTATGCGCATTTGGCCGGCATCCAAACAACTAAAGAGTCGTGTTTCGAAAAAATAAATACGACTATCTGTGTTTTATTACATAATAGTAGGTATCAAATAATAATTATTAGTACGTTGTCATACTAAATTTTAACTATCTACTGCAGTTCCCTTCTGACGCCGCATGTCGTTTCTCAACGTAACAACTGTGTAATTTGTTTTGTGTGCCGGTTAACAAATTGTTTCACGATGGTGATAACGACARCATTAATAACAGTYGCAATGGCGTGCACATTAATAATATTATTAATTGTAGTAACACACCAATAATAATGTTCGTGTCAGCAGCAAACGTGTGCTACCGAATATGAGCGCCGCGCTGCCGCCGCCGCCGCCGCCACGGGCGTTTCCGTCGAGGTGTTCGTGTCGCGTGACGTTGTGGGTCGTCTCGGCGGGTCACACTTGGCTGAAGAAATGCGAGCGATTGTACCAGGGTATCAGTCGGCGGCGGCGACTACTGCCAGGCGTGGCACACGATCGACGCACCAGCTGAGAGTGTGAACGGCGGCGGCGGCGGCCGGCTGTTATGATAATAATAATAACAATAATACAATACAATCACACGTCGATATACACCCGTCAGAATGCAGTGGCGGTGAACTCGTCGAATTTTTTCACCCGGTCACCATTTTTACTACGGTTTTCGGGAAATTGGAATCGTCGTTTTCGTGCGTTTTCCGCAATTTTTTTAAACCCGCTAACAGGAGCCCATGCGGCAGGTCTGCTTCGGCCGATGGTGATGGCCAGGTCAGCGTCGGCGCGCCCGGGAAAGCCAGCCAGCCAGCCACCCGGCGACACGGACCCACCGCTCGTATCGCCACCGTCTCTACCGACGACGCCACGTTTGTGGTTTCCCGGGCCACGCGTGGTCGTGAAATTTCCCTTTGATACCGCAAACACACGAGCGCTCACAGACACGCGAAAATGGTCGCTTTATGTGACAAAACGTCCGGCGTCATTTCCGTAGCGTGTTGATAAGACGATTATAATATAATATACAATAAAATTGAGTTCACCCATCACCTGTCGGTGATGTCACCGCCGTCCGAGGGTAGGGTGGTGATATATTTGAATCATTGCAAAAAAAAAAATTGGTGTTTGGCTTGTGGGTGGGTAGGTTGGATGAGTTAAATTCAATATCTATATCTTAATAYCGCAGATTATTGACATTTGATTGAATGGAGTGTTAAAATTGACAGCATGCTTGTAGTCCGAAGATAATATTATTATTGTAGTTTGTAGGCTATAATATAACCCTGCTATAATGCGGGCATTTAGGTATTTATGCAGCCAACCTCTACAGGCGACTACAGCTCTTCACAGCAGCAAAATAAAATAAATACTCAAAATACTTTTTGGGTGAGTGGTTCAAYTCTGTGGCTCTATAATTGAGTCCAAACAAAAAAGTTTGGTGCCGCCATTGCCGCTATCGTCGCCATCTAGTCTTATCTAATTGATCGTATTTTTTGTATCTTAATGTATGTTGCGAAAAACGCGATTATAGTCTACTATACATCATATTATTACTATTATAAATTGTTGAAGGAAAAAACAAACTGATGCGATTTAAAAATCTACATATTTTGTTTTTGTCTGCACCACTGCACCGTACATCTACAAAACGCAGAGTATAAAATATATAAAGCAAAAATATATTTTGTAAAATGCTAAATGACTAATGAGTATGCTAATAATATATCTCAGATTACAAAAAATA